GCCCCGGCCCCGGCTGTCCCACAAGGGCCCCATGCCGTTCTGAGCCAGGTGAGATGCTGCGGGCCACGGGGGATGCAGGGAAACGTGTGACGGTGCCAGGAGGGAACTCATAAGTACTCGGGCTTGCTCTCGTTGCAGGGCTGCCGGCCGCCTTTCACGGACACGGCTTCCATCGCTCCCGCCGAGCTCTCGCCCGCTCTGCTCATCCTCCGGCCCCGAGCCTGGGGTCCCCCCTGTGAGCCCTCCCTGCTGGTCCCGGTGCCGTGTCCGGCACTGTGGGTGCATCCTGCTCCTCCTGGCTGCCCCGAAGGGCCGGCTGGACGGGGGCTGCCTGCAGAGGGACCGGGGTTGCCACGATGCTTTGTCCCGGTGGCCACGGGGCCGGCTCGGGCACCGGGCTTTGCGCAAAGCACTTTGTCAGGCAGAACAGCTTCTCCTCAGGGTCTGTGAGCCCCCTCGGGGCCCTGCCCCAGCCCGGCGGGAGCACACAGCTTGTCCTGGGTCTATTTATTCCCATGGTGCTCGTCCCACACCCCGGGTGAGCTGCTCTCCCTCTCCTGCTGGCAGACCCACCGTGGTGGGGTGGGGTCCCCACCCAGGACACTGCGGGGTCCTGCACCCCTCTGCTTCACGCCGTGGGACAGCAGGGACAGGGGGCACTGGGGTCTCTGTCAAGCTCTGCCTACACCAAAGGAGGGGCCCTGGCTCTGAGCTGGGCCCTGCTGATTGTCTCCTGTGTCTGTAAAGATTTGTTCCATGTAAATACATCTTTATTATAAAGAGTTATTATTATTAACTCAGTGAATGCTGATTTCTGGAAGGGCAGGCAGGGGTTCCTGTCCTGCTGGTGGGGAGGGATCTCAGGTACCCCTGCTCCCTCCTCGGGCTGTCTGCAGGCACTGGGGATCATGGCTGGGGCCACGGCAGCCCCTTCCCCAGCCCACTGCTGCCAGAGGAAGTGCTCAGCAAGGAGTGAAGCCATGTGCTGAGCCTGTGGCATTGGCAAGGAGGGCGGGAAAACACGGGTCAGAGAGGCTGCGAGATGGAGGAGGGAATGCTGGAAGGGCACAGGGATGCTGGTCCTCCAGGGCATCCCTGCCCCTTGTGTTCAGTCACTGCTACTCCCGGCATCGCCGTTTCTGGTGTCTTGTCCCTCGTACCACTGGCATTCGTCCCCTACTTGTCCCCATCCTTGTATCCCCCATCTTGGTGTCCCCACCCCATGTGGCTGTGAGCAGGACCCATGTGGGGGACAGGGGGCCGAAGCTCAGGACTGAGGGTCCCTGTAGGACCCCGCAGGGAGGGAGGAGGGGCTGAGCCCTGCAAAGGGATGGGACCCCACGGGACAGGACACTCCAGCCGCGGCTGGGACGCCAGAGGCGGTGCCCATGCGAGGCCTCCAAGCCCTCACTGTTTGCAGGGAGCTGCCCCCGAGGGACGCTCCGGGCGGGGGGCTGCGGGCAGGGGTCGGCAGTGCCGGCGGGGAGGGGGTTAAG